TCGTATGCTTTTGTCGACTGAGAAGGGCGGTCTGTGGTTTTAGCGGTGTTCGGCAGAAAAAGTTGCCGTTTTTAGTTCCATAGAATCTGTGCCGAACACCGCTGGTCCTTCGCACGGTTTAAAATGGCCGCCGCCTCGTGGTCGACATACGAACGACGACCACCCTGTATTCGGTTATAATTGAGAGGTGTCTGTGGTTAACCACAACGTTCTAATTGGGATCAAGAGGTTAACCAGCAGCACACTTCTCTTCTGGGTGGCCGTCCGTTCGGTAAGTTCATTCGGTAAAAACGTCAAATAAACCAACAGGGGCATACGGACAGGTAACTCCACGAAAAGAGGCAAAACAGACGAACCAGCAATCTTAGTCTATACAGATGGATCTGTCACAGTGTGTATATAATGAATGCAGTGTGTGTGTGTGTGTGTGTGTGTTTGTGTATATAATGAATGCAGTGTGTGTGTGTGTGTGTTTGTGTATATAATGAATGCAGTGTGTGTGTGTTTGTGTATATAATGAATGCAGTGTGTGTGTGTGTGTGTGTTTGTATAGTGTGTATATAATGAATGCAGTGTATGTGTGTGTGTTTGTATAGTGTGGTATAATGAATGCAGTGTGTGTGTGTGTGTTTGTATAGTGTATATAAATGAATGCAGTGTGTGTGTGTGTTTGTATAGTGTGTATATAATGAATGGTGTGTGTGTGTTTGTATAGTGTGTATATAATGAATGCAGTGTGTGTGTTTGTATATGTGTATATACGAATGCAGTGTGTGTGTGTTTGTATAGTGTGTATATAATGAATGGTGTGTGTGTTTTTGTATAGTGTGTATATAATGAATCTGCGTGTGTGTGTTTGTATAGTGTGTATATAATGAATGCAGTGTGTGTGTGTTTGTATAGTGTGTATATAATGAATGCAGTGTGTGTGTGTGTGTGTTTGTATAGTGTGTATGTATAATGAATGCATGTGTGTGTTTTGTATAGTGTGTGTGTATATACGAATGCAGTGTGTGTGTGTTTGTATGCGTGTGTGTATATAATGAATGCAGTGTGTGTGTTTGTATAGTGTGTGTATATAATGAATGCAGTGTGTGTGTGTGTGTTTTGTATAGTGTGTATATAATGAATGCAGTGTGTGTGTGGTGTTTGTATAGTGTGTATATAATGAATGCAGTGTGTGTGTGTTTGTATAGTGTGTATATAATGAATGCAGTGTGTGTGTGTGTTTGTATAGTGTATATAAATGAATGCAGTAGGTAGTTTGCATAAAGTGCGTATATACGAATGCAGTGTGTGTGTGTGTGTTGTATAGTGTGTATATAATGAATGCAGTGTGTGTGTGTTTGTATAGTGTGTATGGTAATGAATGCAGTGTGTGTGTTTGTATAGTGTGTATATAATGAATGCAGTGTGTGTGTGTGTTTGTATAGTGTGTGTATATAATGAATGCAGGTGGTGTGTGTGTGTGTTTGTATAGTGTGTATATAATGAATGCAGGTGTGTGTGTTTGTATAGTGTGTATATAATGAATGGTGTGTGTGTGTTTGTATAGTGTGTATATAATGAATGCAGTGTGTGTGTTTGTATAGTGTGTATATAATGAATGCAGTGTGTGTGTGTGTGTTTGTGTATATAATGAATGCAGTGTGTGTGTGTGTTTGTATAGTGTGTATATAATGAATGCAGTGTGTGTGTGTTTGTATAGTGTGTATATAATGAATGCAGTGTGTGTGTTTGTATAGTTTGTGTGTGTTTGTGAAGGGATGTAATTTGTGTAAAATGGGCAGGAGGGGAGGCATTTTTTATTTTTATTGTATTTTTAATATTTATATGTTTTATTTTTTGTCCCACCTCCCTGCTTGTTACTTGGCCAGGGAGGTGGGCTATTGCATTCCCTGGTGGTCCAGTGGCATGTGCTGTGCAGTGGGGGATCCGCGGTCCTGGTATGTATTATCGGCAATAATGGTATCTTTACTGGCCGATACCGATATTGCCGAAAATACCGAATATCAGCCGATAATATCTGTAAAACCGATCATCAGTCAATCCCTAGTAAATACATGAGTGAAAATATACTAAGTACATAGTCACAATATAGAAAATGAAAATGTATATAATGAAATAAGACGTTCCTCATATGTATCCGCCATAATCCAGGTGGGCACCAGAGGGTACACTGTCAGCTTCAAGTGGCGCTGTAAAAGAAAAAAAATCTCACTAATAATAAATACACACAAGATTACAAAAAAGAAGTAAGACAAAATTCCCTATTAAGTCCCTTGAGCCATAAGGTGTTTAATGTGTGGAGCCCCTTCTTTTTAAGCAAACCTTGACGGTTGCCACCTCTCCTGAGTGGGGGCACATGGTCAATAACCTGAAATATTGTGACTATGTTCCATGAAGGTCATTCATTTTGTCTAGTTCTAATAGTTGATTTATGCTTATTGAATCTCTCACGGACCTTCATCGTGGTCTCTCCTACACAGAGAAGGCCACATGGGCATTTAAGGACATAGACAACATAGGTCAACTCGCAGTTGAAATAATTCTTATTATATGAACGACCTGTTTGGGGATGAATAAAAGAGTTGCAGGAACTAAGTGAACCAAAGTATTCCTAATATTCTGCAGGCTTTTGTACGAAAATAGGGGAGTTCCTTGAAATTCCACAATACCTGGGAAAGATCTTTTAAGGATACCCCAGTGTTTGCGGACAATATGTGCCACTTTGTTGCTATACAAATTGTATGTAGATACAAAAGGTATCCGAGTCTGATTATTAGATTTTCATTTGGGTCTCAACAAAGAATCCCTTTCAATGCCTAATACTTTCTCTTTTTCAGAATTCAAGAGTGTAGCTGGATAGCCACAATTTAGAAACTTGTTGCTCATCTCATAAAATCTCTGTAGGCGAGTGGAGGGGTCCGCAACATTCCTGGCTACTCGAATGAACTGACTGCGGGGTAAAGAACGGATAGTCCACTGGGGATGAAAACTATTAAACTCCAACAGACTATTCCTATCCGTGGGTTTATTATGGAATGTAGCGTGACTACAATTAGTTTCCTAGATTTAAAGATCATTCGGCATGGGGACAGTTTTTTAACTGATTTACATACAACACATGGCGGCGGGCACCTGGTCGCAGGGCTGCGACCGCGGTATGTACGACAGTGCATGCAGATTTAACCCTGCAGCGGAAAACATAGCAGTTTCAGAGAAACTGCTATGTTTCACTGAGGGTTAATCCAGCCTCTAGTAGCTGACTGTGAGAAGACGCTGGACGTCCATAGAAAAGCATTGAGTAATGCTTTCCTATGGGTGGTTTGGATGGGCGTGCGGCTCTTTCTGCACATGCGCATTCGGAGCTGAGAGGCGGATTGGGAGGGAGAGATCCCCAGCGCCAAGGGGGAGAATGCTCCCTCGCTCGCCACTGCCAGCTTCGGGAGAAGAGGCTGGCAAAATGAGGCCGCACTGTCGTACATACCCAGGTCGCAGGGGGCTGGGCCCGGTCGCAGCTGCGACCGCGGTATGTACACCAGTGGAAGGATATTAAGGATCAGATATTTGCAATATGTGAGGTAAATATACCTTTTACTCCGCAGAGTTTTCAATTACACCAGGGATGGCTCAGCATGCCTATTGATAATTCATATCTTAATGGCAACAAAGGTAGTTTTAGCAAGAAATTGGAAAAGTAAAAAGATATTTGAGTGGAATGAAATTAAAAAACCAAACGATATATCAATGTAAAATGGAATCGGGAATTATCAAAAATAATTCATATGGATTGACGAAAGTTAACAAATAGATAAAAATTGTGGAAAGGCTCAGAGATAGATAAAGTAAGATTGTACAATAAAAGAGGGAGTGTAGAAATAATGGGTTAGAGTGGAATAAAATGCATATTGTCTCAGGGGTATGAATGGGACCCAAAGGGAGCTGGTATAAATATAACAGACAGAGACAGTAGACAGATAATAGGCCAACAAGAGCAATGCCATACTTTTTCCTTGTGCGTGGCTTTGATGTAGCTGCATGTTTGTATTTTAATTTGTGTATATATTTATATTCCTATGTATACAAGGATTTAAAGCTTTGAAATGTTGAATACATGAAAAGGAATATAAGACAAATTTATGTAATGATAAAAAAATATGAAAAATAAAATATATTTAAAAAAAATCAGTTTAATTGGGGTGTGGGTTATTTAAGCACTGTATCATGTTGTTTCCCTTATGCGTGATTAAGGCTCTGTTGAGCCGAAACGTTGCACTTTATGAGGCGGAGTATCCTGAATTTTACCTTCTGGATCCTGGAGTGCTGCCTGTGTCCTTCTGCTTCTCTGTGTATATAACGCACACACTGACGGTATATAACGCATACTGACTGTATATAACACACACTGACTGTATATAACGCACACACTGACGGTATATAACACACACACTGACGGTATATAACACACACACTGACGGTATATAACGCACACACTGACGGTATATAACGCACACTGACGGTATATAACGCACACACTGACGGTATATAACGCACACACTGACGGTATATAACACACACTGACGGTATATAACACACACTGACTGTATATAACGCACACACTGACTGTATATAACGCACACACTGACTGTATATAACACAATCTGACGGTATATAACACACACTGACGGTATATAACACACAGTGACTGTATATAACGCACACACTGATGGTATATAACACACACTGACGGTATATAACACACACTGACTGTATATAACACGCACACACTGTATATAACGCACACTGACTGGTAACACTAACACACACTGTATATAACGCGCACTGACTGTATATAACACAGACACACTGTATATAACGCACACTGACTATATAACATGCACACATTGTATATAACGCACACTGACTGGTAACACTAATACACACTGACTATATATAACACGCACACTGACTGTATATTACACGCACACACTGTATATAACGCACACTGACTGTATATAACACACACACTGTATATAACACACACACACTATATAACGCACACTGACTATATATAACACACACACACTGTATATAACACACTGACTATATATAACACACACACACTGTATATAACGCACACTGACTATATATAACACGCACACACTGTATATAACGCACACTGACTGGTAACACTAACACACACTGCATAACAGCATTAGCAATGCATATTGTATTCAAAAAAGAACAAAGGGAGACAAAACCAACCAAGATGATAGGCAGTCTTCGCACTTTAGATGTTATAGACTACATCTCCCATAATGCTCTGACAGTCATAATGCTGGCGATGCATCTTGTGAGATGTAGTCTATAACATCTAAAGTGCGAAGACTGCCTATCCCTGATCTAGATGGTAGACATTGTCTTGGTTGGTTTTGTCCCCCTTCGTTCTTTTTCGAATACAATATGCATTGCTAATGCTATCGTGTCTGCTACCTATTTTGGTTCCCCTCCCTCCCCGAGCCATATGCTAAATAGTAGCATTCCTGCATAAGGGGACCAAATTAGGGAGCTGTTCTAATTTGATATCCTTATTGGCAATCCTAAATAATATCATTATTATTTATAAAGCCCCAACAAGTTCTGTAGCGCTATACAATGGGTGGACTAACAGACACGTAATTGTAACCAAACATGTTTGACACACAGTAACAGAGGGATTGAGGGCTCTGCTCAGTGAGTTTACATGTTAGAGGGAGTGGGGTATAGTGACACAGTAACAGAGGGATTGAGGGCCCTGCTCAGTGAGTTTACATGTTAGAGGGAGCGGGGCATAGTGACAGTAACAGAGGGATTGAGGGCCCTGCTCAGTGAGTTTACATGTTAGAGGGAGTGGGGCATAGTGACACAGTAACAGAGGGATTGAGGGCCTGCTCAGTGAGCTTACATGTTAGAGGGAGTGGGGTATAGTGACACAGTAACAGAGGGATTGACGGCCTGCTCAGTGAGCTTACATGTTAGAGGGAGAGGGGTATAGTGACACAGTAACAGAGGGATTGAGGGCCCTGCTCAGTGAGTTTACATGTTAGAGGGAGTGGGGTATAGTGACACAGTAACAGAGGGATTGAGGCCCTGCTCAGTGAGTTTACATGTTAGAGGGAGTGGGGGTATAGTGACACAGTAACAGAGGGATTGAGGGCCTGCTCAGTGAGTTTAC